ACACACACACACACACACACACACACACACACACACACACACACACATACACACACACACAAAGGTGATATTGCTTAATCTGGACATGATTGCATTACTGAAGCATTCCACAAGGTTTAAAGTCCCTTTCTTATTAAAATCAATGGTATTGATCTGTGTTGCTATTGTGACCTATAACAGGAGCAATTGCTGCAATGCTTCTAAACTTAAAACATTATGGCAGAAAATATAAACATGAATATGAGAAGAAAAATAACAGCTGTCTGAACAGCTCAAATCAGGCACCCACAGGAAAAGTCATCTATTCAAAGATCGGCCTTGGAATTTTATGAATCAACATTCAAAAGTAGATCGACTTGAATAGAAAAATGTACAGCTCATTTTCACCAATACTAGATCCAGCTTTTCGAGTCAGTATCGGACCGATAACAGTATCGGTGCATCTCTAATTTTTACTTAATGAAGTGTTTGTGCTGTGAAACATGTTGTAACAACGTTGTAGCTGCCATTGCCATTTCTATTTGTGCTTGATAGAAGTCTTTGCGGGGATGTTGTAGGCTACAAGACTACTCCTCCTGTCTCTTTTAATAGGGTTACCGCGGATCCTTGAAATGTCTTAAATTCGATTTTTTTAGGCTTTACGGCTGTAGCATTTCTTCTTTGATAATGCTGCTGTGGTATTTGAAGTAGGTCCTGTATAGATGCTTGTGAATCTCACAGACGCGCCATACAAACATCATTTTGCTGTGGGTGTCCACGTTGTCCCGAAAAGATGCACTGGGACGCAAAAAGATGGAATTTGGGAATAGACTCTTAAAAGCACTCTTATGATTTTTAAAGCATGCATGCAAGTGACAGAAGTAAAAGCTAACGTCAAGCTATAAATTAACTCCACCGCGCTCGCATAACTTCACGTCACCACCGCGAAGCTAAAGGTGGACTAGTCGGCGTAAAGATGTCTTACAGTCTCATTGAGACACTTCAACCGCCTTGTTTAGCACACTTAAAAGCTTCAAAAGTCACTAGAAGGGAAGGTACTGACGTATTTTGTATCGTAGAACAACATGTTGAATCTCTTAAGCTTGTGTTGACCACAGACCTTGTTTCAGGTAAAGAGGTTTCACAGGTTTCACACCTCCTCTACAGCCCTGTCGAGGACCACTGAAGGTCCCCAGACCCTATTTTGGGAAGCACTGGTGTCTATGAATGACTCTCCCCATGATGTGGCCAGCTTGGCCATGTTCACCACAGGCTGCTACTCCATCAGCACACCCACACAGCCAATAATAGGATGGATTGTGAATAGTTGTATGGATTAACAAAGACGTGGGTATGGGTGTGACTCTTGCATGCACGCAGCCTTTCCATGTTTACTCCTTGTTCTGATTCTGCGTGTGTGTGTTTATGTGCACCTCATAGGATTTGGTCTCCAGGTCTTTGAGGTGTTCCTCGGCTCCAGGCATACTCTTGTAGTAAGCCATGTTCCTCTGCATCATCTCATCGTTTGGGTGTTTCAGCAGGAAGGTGTGGGCAGCAGACACCGCCTTGGCCAGGTTGTCAGACTGGGAGAAATAACACGAACACACATTGCAAACAGCTATTAGTTGAGGAAATAAAATAAATGCAATGCAAACACTACACTGTGGTTCAATGTGGAGTGGTTGCAGGGACTCGGTAACTCATAAATCACCAATAAATATTTCCAGAATAACTGAATGGAGGACAACATTTTAGATCACTGGAAATGAATGTTGGTTTTGTCAATTGTCAGGTCAAATCAAAACAATTTAGGTATTCAGGGGTTTCCTCTTGATTTGTCACACCTCTGTTTCCATGGCAACATAAGCCTAAAAGTAGGCCAAATCATTTTTCCAACATTTGACTCTAAATAAACTGTGATTCATAACTTAGTCCTAAATCTAAAATAGCTCCCTTGTAGAAATGACGACAAGTTAAATGTTTTTTGTTTGTTTGTTTTTTGTTTGTTTCTTTATTTGTGTTTCTTTTCCTTCTTAATAGGAAGGACAAGAAAACTCAAGCAGGTAAAAAGTCCAGGACCTCCCCTCGTGCAGAACTGAATTTAACACTAACAGATCTGTGCATCCGTGGCATGTAGGTGACGTCAGAAAGCAAAGACGCGAGAAAACACCGTCAGTGACGTTGAGAAAGAAAGTGCGGCTGCATTGAAAACCATCACCTTATACTGAGTATCATAACAAGGTAAACAAACGTGTACAACTACACAAGTCCAATGTTTGGAACCCCTCGACCCTCCTCATGACCCCACATATTAAACGCATATGTACCGTGCTTACTTTGAAGTACGCAAACTGCAGGTATTTGTACGGCTCTCTCTCCTCAAATTCAACGATGGTGTCCCGGCTGGGCATGGCCTGCCTGAAAGCGGGCAGCCCCTGTTTGCAGCGCTTCAGGCACTGCGCCCTCTTCATAACGTTACCGAACGCCCGCAGCTCTGGAAACTCCGCAAACTTCTGCTCGTCTTCCAGCCTCACAGAGCTGCAGTTGAGGTTGCAGAAGGCCTCGCTGTCCCGCAGCAGCCGGTACAGCCGCAGAGACACCTCTATGTACTCTACCGTCTCCTTCCACTTCTCTCCGGTGTACTGGTCCAGTGCGTACTTGTAAGCGGACTCCAGGGGCATCAGCTCGTGCCTGGGGAAACTCCTGAAGCTGTATTTCTCATACTGGGAGTTCACCACAGAGATGAAAAATGCGAGTACAAGCGCTGAGAAGAGTTGGGAAGAAGCGGACGGTGCCATTTTTAAGTTTGGTTAATGGTGGACTGGGGGTGATCCCGGAGTGGGAGCGTGGGTCTCTAGGACCGCCTCAAGTTCCACGACGTATCCGGAGAAAGCCTCCCCACCCCCGGGCGCAAAAGGCTGGAACGGCCGCTCCAGCGGGTGGGGGCTGCAGGAGCTGCTCCTCCCACTAACGCACACGAGTAAATCACTGCTGTTGTTCTGTCCTTTTACAGGACAAGTAACAACCTGACAGAGAAAAGAGCTTTTAGACTTTAACTTCATAAGTGAGGGAGAAAATCCTGTACTTTATAGATAAGGAACAAGGTCATTTAGCCATTTCTTTAAACTTCAGGACTGACCAAGAACATATTATTCAATAAAACTCTTTAAACTCCGTCACTAATTAAACCCCTGCAATGGTGAGAGTGATGTGTCCCTCCCACTGCCACGTAGAGACGTTCCTGCCTGGTCTGCCCCCCTCAACAGGCCTGAACCCCACCAACACAACAGTCAGGATCCATGTAGAGCATCATCTAAGGACAAACGTTATGTGTTCTGCTAATCAGACCTGCGTATCCATCTTTGGATGTGTGCGTATCATTGGGATTTAAATGGAGACAGAAGGGGGGGGGGGGGGGGGGGGTGTGGGTAGGGGTGGGGGGTCCGCGAAGCTAGCCAGGGT